GGGGGGGGGGGGAGGAGCTGACTGGATGCAAGGAAGGAAGCAGCAGCTGTGTCTCACATTCAGGCAGCATCTCTCACTGACACACCGAGGAAGGTGCAGAGGGTCCGTGACGGACCACTGGACGCTCTGCTCATCCACGCGCGACAGTCCCAGGGCCTCCCCCCGCCAGGCCTCTCAACCTGCCAGGGGGTGCGTGCCAGCCCTGCTGCCCCGAGTCACTGCCCACTAGACGGGCTCCCCGGCTGTGCGCACCTGCAGGCCCAGGGGGAAGGGGCGCCGGCTGAAGTGATATCTTCAATTGAATGAACTTTTTTGCTCCAACAAATACATTTTGAAATATCCTAGTCCCGTGGTCACAAGCCACATGCGGCTCTTTGGCCCCTTGAGTGTGGCCACAAAGTTTCAATCGCACTGCATGTGCGCACCCCCACGTGGTATTTTGTGGAAGAGCCGCAGTTTGCTGACCACTGCCCTAGTCCCCTAACACTCAGTAAAACTTGGAGCATCACCAAGGGCAAAACCAGAGGTGCATGGAGCCCCGACTGAGCTGCGAGGGCTCTGACGCTCCGCGCTGTGACCGTGTCACTGTGTGCGAGCCGGCAGTTAGGGGACAGGACGCGAGCTCGGGCAGGAGGCTCCCAGTCCTTACAAAGCACTCGGCCGCGTCGTCCATGAGGCCCAGCTGGAACCGCTGCTCGTCCCGGAAGCTCTCGGCCAGGGCGCGCCGCACGTTGTCCGATGGGAGGGCCTTTTCCCGGCTGTGTTGAAACTGAGCAAACATGCTCTGCGAACCACAAGCACAGGTGTGAGCGCAATGCCAACAACTGCAAACACGTCCATATCTCACTCCGACATGGTGACACCAACGCTACCCGCGGAAACCAGAGCGCCGCATGCAGGAGAACCGGGCAGGCTGCTCGGGCCCAGCCTGGATTCTCCCGGCTGCGTGTGCCTGGGTGAGGCCCGCGTTACACTGCTCCCCGCTGATTCTGAAGTTTTGAATCAAAAGAGTACCATAGGAATTAAAATTATGTTAACCAAGAACAAACATCTAATCACAAGAAAAACAGCAGGAACTCAGTAGTGTTAACAACCCGGACGGCGTGGCTCAGTCGTTGAGCGTCGACCTATGAACCAGGAGCTCACAGTTCGATTCCCAGTCAGGGCACATGCCCGGGTTGCAGGCTTGATCCCCGGTGTGGGGTGTGCAGGAGGCAGTCGATGCATGATTCTCTTTCATCACTGATATTTCTCTCTCTCTCTCTCCCTCTCCCTTCCTCTCTCTAAAATCGATTTTTTAAAAAAGTGTTGATAAAATCTTAGATTCCAGGACAGGATTTCAATGACATAAATGAGTTGCTTAATCTATTCAGTGGTTCTCAATCTTCCTAATGCTGAGACCCTTTAATACAGTTCCTCATGTTGTGGTGACCCCCAACCATAAAATTATTTTCGTTGCTACTTCATAACTGTAATTTTGCTACTGTTATGAATCGTCATGTAAATATCTGATATGCAGGATGTATTTTCAGGGGTCGCGACCCACAGGTTGAGAACCGCTGATTCTATATGGACTCCCTGCTTCTGCCTTGTATCTCTTTTCTTTATTCTCATTCCTGCAGCCAAGTCCAGTCCAAGCACAGCATCCAGTTAAAACAGATGGCATCACCCTCTATGCCAGGGACCCCAACTCCTGGCATCACGCACGGGAAAAGCCGAGGTCCTCACAGAGGCCGGGAAGGCCCTCCGTGCCCCGCCTCCTGTGCGTTACGTATCACTCCATGGTGAGCCCCCCGCTGTTACTGACAGTCGGCCTCGCTTAGGGCACAAATCTGAACTTGGGGACAGCTCAACCCTGATCTGGAGGAGGCCTGTGGCACAGCCTGGCACTAGGAATGGACTCATCAAGTCCCTCACTGACGCCGGGCAGCTGCTGGTGCTGCCCACTGGTGGGCTGTGGTGCCAGCCTGGCTTCCTCCCTGGACCACAGCCCTCTGAGGATGACCACTTGCCAGACAGAGCCAGGTGGAGCCTTGGCACCTTCTCCAGGCTCCTCGCCTCAAGCCTGCAGCATCCGCAGCCACATCCTATGTCCTGGATGGAGGTGCAGGCAGCCCACATTCAGGGACCAGACCCGTTTATAGGAGGGGCACAGAGGACTCCGCAGGCAGGCTGTGATCACTGCTCCCCACCTGAGCTCCCGGGCACCCCAGGCGGTGATCACTGCTCCCCACACCCGAGCTCCCGGGCACCCCAGGCGGTGATCACTGCTCCCCACACCCGAGCTCCCGGGCACCCCAGGCGGTGATCACTGCTCCCCACACCCGAGCTCCCGGGCACCCCAGGCGGTGATCACTGCTCCCCACACCCGAGCTCCCGGGCACCCCAGGCGGTGATCACTGCTCCCCACACCCGAGCTCCCGGGCACCCCAGGCGGTGATCACTGCTCCCCACACCCGAGCTCCCGGGCACCCCAGGCGGTGATCACTGCTCCCCACACCCGAGCTCCCGGGCACCCCAGGCGGTGATCACTGCTCCCCACACCCGAGCTCCCGGGCACCCCAGGCGGTGATCACTGCTCCCCACACCCGAGCTCCCGGGCACCCCAGGCGGTGATCACTGCTCCCCACACCCGAGCTCCCGGGCACCCCAGGCGGTGATCACTGCTCCCCACACCCGAGCTCCCGGGCACCCCAGGCGGTGATCACTGCTCCCCACACCCGAGCTCCCGGGCACCCCAGGCGGTGATCACTGCTCCCCACACCCGAGCTCCCGGGCACCCCAGGCGGTGATCACTGCTCCCCACACCCGAGCTCCCGGGCACCCCAGGCGGTGATCACTGCTCCCCACACCCGAGCTCCCGGGCACCCCAGGCGGTGATCACTGCTCCCCACACCCGAGCTCCCGGGCACCCCAGGCGGTGATCACTGCTCCCCACACCCGAGCTCCCGGGCACCCCAGGCGGTGATCACTGCTCCCCACACCCGAGCTCCCGGGCACCCCAGGCGGTGATCACTGCTCCCCACACCCGAGCTCCCGGGCACCCCAGGCGGTGATCACTGCTCCCCACACCCGAGCTCCCGGGCACCCCAGGCGGTGATCACTGCTCCCCACACCCGAGCTCCCGGGCACCCCAGGCGGTGATCACTGCTCCCCACACCCGAGCTCCCGGGCACCCCAGGCGGTGATCACTGCTCCCCACACCCGAGCTCCCGGGCACCCCAGGCGGTGATCACTGCTCCCCACACCCGAGCTCCCGGGCACCCCAGGCGGTGATCACTGCTCCCCACACCCGAGCTCCCGGGCACCCCAGGCGGTGATCACTGCTCCCCACACCCGAGCTCCCGGGCACCCCAGGCGGTGATCACTGCTCCCCACACCCGAGCTCCCGGGCACCCCAGGCGGTGATCACTGCTCCCCACACCCGAGCTCCCGGGCACCCCAGGCGGTGATCACTGCTCCCCACACCCGAGCTCCCGGGCACCCCAGGCGGTGATCACTGCTCCCCACACCCGAGCTCCCGGGCACCCCAGGCGGTGATCACTGCTCCCCACACCCGAGCTCCCGGGCACCCCAGGCGGTGATCACTGCTCCCCACACCCGAGCTCCCGGGCACCCCAGGCGGTGATCACTGCTCCCCACACCCGAGCTCCCGGGCACCCCAGGCGGTGATCACTGCTCCCCACACCCGAGCTCCCGGGCACCCCAGGCGGTGATCACTGCTCCCCACACCCGAGCTCCCGGGCACCCCAGGCGGTGATCACTGCTCCCCACACCCGAGCTCCCGGGCACCCCAGGCGGTGATCACTGCTCCCCACACCCGAGCTCCCGGGCACCCCAGGCGGTGATCACTGCTCCCCACACCCGAGCTCCCGGGCACCCCAGGCGGTGATCACTGCTCCCCACACCCGAGCTCCCGGGCACCCCAGGCGGTGATCACTGCTCCCCACACCCGAGCTCCCGGGCACCCCAGGCGGTGATCACTGCTCCCCACACCCGAGCTCCCGGGCACCCCAGGCGGTGATCACTGCTCCCCACACCCGCGCTCCCGGGCCCCCCAGGCTGTGATCACTGCTCCCCACCTGAGCTCCCTGGGCACCTGCGCCCACACAGTGGCTGCAGCCAGGTCTCCAGGACCTTGTCATGCTCACGGCTCCTCAGGGCCCTGCCCGCCTGAACGTCCAGTCCACTGTCACCTTTCAGGTCATAATTTAAATGCCGCTCTCCCAGCGAGGCTTCCTGCTGCTCGACTCTATTCCCTTCCTGGTGCCCTGCCCTCATTTGCAGTTACTATCATCTGATATGCCTCCCCTCCCTAGAATAGACGCTCCATGAAAGCAGGGCTGTATCATTCTGTTCACTGCTGTTTCCCTGGCATCCAGAATTTAGGAGTTCAAAAAACATTTTAAAACTAAGTTTCAAGCCGAAACCGGTTTGGCTCAGTCAATAGAGCGTCGGCCTGCGGACTGAAGGGTCCCGGGTTCGATTCTGGTCAAGGGCATGTACCTAGGTTGCGGGCACATCCCCAGTGGGAGATGTGCAGGAGGCAGCTGATCAAGGTTTCTCTCTCATCGATGTTTCTGACTCTCTATCTCTCTCCTTTCCTCTCTGTAAAAAATCAATAAAAAATATATAAAAAAAACAACAAAAAAAACTAAGTTTCAAAATAATGTAAAATGAGCATGTCAAACTCACAGCCCATGGGCCACACACAGCCCACAATGAATATTTTTGCGGCCCAGCCAATATAACAGTATGTAAGAAACGTTTCAATTAAAATTTCATGACTTAATTTTTACAATATCCCGTTATACATAATTATTAATAATGAACAACATTCGCTAATGACTAATTACTATAATCTTGTTGCATTCATTTCCCTTACACGCCTTACGCACAGGTGCACCATTTCTCTCCACTAATCCTAGCAGCGAATACTTTAGCAGCCAATGGCCACGGCATTAGTCTTGGACTGACTTGCTTGGTGTGCAAAACAGGAAATATTTCACTTTCGGAGAACAAGAAAAATAGGTTTATTTGCGTTATGCTTACTAATTTGTGCAGTTATTCAGTGTCTAGTAAGCGAATGTTCAAGAAAAATATTAGTTTTTATTAAAATGTTCTGTTATTTTATGTTAACGATGACTCATTTATTTCAGCCCTTTGTAGTCAGCATGTCTCTATCGAAATAAACCTGTTTCCATGAAAATTGAAGCTTTTGTTTTTTTTGGCCCACATCAACTTAAACCTTGTTTATTTGGCCCATGGTAGCCTTTAAGTTTGACATGCTTGAAGTAAAAGGTAATGTTCCCAACAATTTCATACCATGTAGAATATTAACTTAACTGTCCTTGTATAGAAGTGAAAAATGAAAACATAAACCCAAATAAACCATACTTTAAGAATTCATCCTCAGAATTATAAATCACTTGACAATGAACTTTAATTACAAGTGAGCTATCAAATATGGCAAATAAATCAAATAAACTGTCAAGTAAAAGTAAACACTTGGAGAGACAACCACGTCAGCTGTCGGAGCTCTGAAAGGTACCTTCAGCGCACAAAAGATGCAGGCCTCGCCCTGGCAGACGTGCCCCGTCAGGGCCCGCAGGCTCCTCCGGAATATGTCCAGCTGCCACAGCACCTGCGGCGAGAGCGGGAGAGACGGTGAGACTCGGTGAGAAGAGGCGGAAATGTCCTAGAAACTGCAGACCAGACGGCCTTTAACCTCCTGCACAACAGCAGACCCCCCGCCCCCCAAGACAGCACCAGCAGGAGCCGGCGAGGCCTCCCGGCGCCCAGGGAGGCTGAGCAGCGTGGGCAGGCGGCAGAGGCCTCAGGTCAGGGCTCTATGAGCAGGACACACGGTACTGCGGGGACTTGGCAGACACGACGGAGGAAGTGATCGTAATTCTTGGAACGAAGTGAAATTCAGAGGAAACACAACTGGACTTGAGACCAGGGCGCAGCAAACGGGTCAGCGCGGGTGAGCGAGAAGACAGGGCGAGCAGCGGCCGCCTCTCCCCCACACTGAGGGGAGGGCGCCTGGCTGGGGACGGGGTGCAGCCTGTAAGAAGAGCAGTTAGAAATAACCCCAATACTTTGGCTACAACTATCCAGTCATCATTTGCTACTAAAAGACAGAGAAGTGGGGACGACGACTGTACTTGTTTAAATAAATCAGTCCAGTACTTAAAGTCGGTCTGAGAAACCTGACATCGCTACCGTGGGACACCGTGGCTGCCGCGCCCTCACAGGGCTCTTGGTAAGGGCCAAGCACTCAGCTATAACCTTTAAAGTGGGAGCGCAGTGCCGGGCAGAGCTGGCAGGCGAGTGCCAACTGCCCCTGCCGCTGTCATTCCCGCCACGGCCGCCAGTGTGTCGTCCGTGCAGCCTCCACAGGAGGGACAGGAAAACCTGAAGACATAATGGTCAGAGTTTCCCGATTTGGTTAAAATCATAAACCAGTTCTCAGCAAACCCAATACAAGACACACGAAGAGGACGATGCGGAAGTACCACGCGACCACCGTGCCGCCCAGGGACAGAGAAGAGAGGACGCAGGCAGAGGGACAGGTAAGATGACAGCTTCTCATCAGAAACAACGTGAGCCAAAGAGAGGGAGTGAGAGCTGCACAGAACTGAAGAGAAGGCGGGCAACTCGGACGCCTTTAGTGGTGAAAGCATCTTTCACCAACAAAACGAAGTTGAGTTTTCCCCAGACACACAAGAACTCCAGAACTCATGGCCGACAGCCTGGGCCACGGGAAACGCTGAGAGGTGCCAGCAGACGCCACATGGGGCTACACGCAGGATGCCAGCACCAGCGAGGGCAGCTGCGTAGGATGTGCAGAGCCTCTTCATGGGAAGGTCACGGATGCTCATTTAAAAAGTACATCCTATCGGGGCACTTCTCCATTTCCTTTCCTTTGTGCGCATCCTTGCTCGGATGTCTGAGCAGTCCTGATGGGCTCATTTAACTAAGGAGCTAACTAACCAGTACCTGTCTTTCTACTCTGAGCTGTCAGGAGAGAAAAGTAGCAATGGAAAATATGTGAAAAGTGGTTTATTTTCAATAAATTCTTCTAAGGTACATTCGGAGGTCAACAGAGTAACAGCCCAACCTTCTAAATCCTCTTTGGTAGTGGTCGGAAGGACACAAGATCCTACAAAAGCTGGGACTGGTGAACAGAAACCATACCAAACATAAGGACATTTATCTAAGACAGAAAAGCGGACTAACACATACTTGTTAATTACAAGAACTGCAACAAGGACGGAAGCAAAATGGACCAACCTCCAATTTAACAAAAACAGTGGAGTCCCCATCATGAATCCACCCGCAGAGGTGGGCTTCGGCACAGTGGGGGTGAGGAAGTTGGAACTGAGATTAAAACCCCAGCTCGTTTCAGCACAGATGGCTTGTTTCCTTTTATGCTGTCTGTGGGGATTCTACTGGATTTCCTTTTTAAAAGTATGTGGATGTGTGTGTAGGGGGCACAGGAGGAAATTAGCTGATTCAAAAACTATTTTATGTATTTGAGAAACATATTCTTAATTTACTAAGTAGTGACTATAAGTCAAAAGATATCTTTATATCGTAGTAATATCTGATCCTGCTGAAAAAAATAATTCCTTTTGTAATAATAACCGAAGTGCCTAGCCCACATATTGCTGCCACCACTAAGTGATACAAGGTCATTGCAGTCACTAACTCTATTCTTAACGTGCAGTGGAAGCAACAGGAGAGAGGCCTCTCCCGCGTGGCCTGCGCCTGGAGCGGGCCTACCTGCACGGCGCTGTTGAGGAAGCAGCTGTTCTGGCCCGGCGCGTTGAGCAGGCCCTTGGTGGGCGCCAGCGACAGCAGGCTCCCTGGCTGGTAGGCCTTCCCCAGGCCGCTGCCCGGCTTCCGCAGGAACTTCACCCACGCCATGTTCACGCGGCTCTGTGGGCGTGGAAGCTGAGCGTGGGATGCTCGTGGGAGACGGTGCTGCAACGGGTGCTATCCTGACGTGTCCACTGGGATGCGCTGCAGTCTCCGACAATTCCCTGAGCGTCCGCGTCCATCGCTTTCCTGCGGCCGCAAACTGGGAGGACTTTGTCCACTGAAACAGGGCGCATGAACATGAAGTTCTGAAAACGAAAAAGGAAGGCTATTTTGAACAAGGCCTGAAGGTTTTTATGTGTCACATTTAAAAGAGATTTGTATAGCTTAAGATGAAAAAGGTATTTTCTTAAACTGCTAAAAATAACGTTGATGAACAAATTTTCTTTAAAGTTCAAGCCATTGTCTTGATGGTTTGAAAACGATGTAACACTGGCATCTGACGTGGTTCCTTTGGTTGTTCATTTTCGTTACGGCCTTTTAGTAAGAAAGAAGGCTCTCTCTCTCCCAGGTGAACTTATCAAAGTGACTGACTCCATATTGCACATCCACGTGACCGCAAAGCAACTCTACCACAGAGAAAAACACTGCTTACATAAAGGTAAAGGCTAATCAAGAAAGCCCCTACTTTACTATTTGAACACAGTGAATACATATTTGAAATGTTGAATTTATAATCATAAAAGATTAAAACTAATGTTCTAAAATATGAAAATGAAAACACAGTTTACCATTAAAAATTGTTTAAATATCAATGTGACATCAAACCAGAAAGAAAACAGACTGATGGTTACCTGTGGGAGGGGAGAGGGGCCATGTGCGAAAAGGTGAAGGGATTAAGAGGTACAAACTTCCAGGTCTAAAATAAGTCCCGGAGGTAACACATAGCACAGGCAATCTACTCAATAACATGGTAATAATCCATTCAGTGCAAGATGGTCACCAGACTTAACATGATCACTCGTAAGAGAGAGAAATGTTGTATTACTGTGTTGTACACCTGAAACTAATATAATATGTGTCAATTATAATCAAAAAGATAAAATAGTTTTGCACATTGACAATAAGTGAGAGAGATTATTTGGTCCCACTTGTTAAGGGGATAAAATTTGCACAATATCCAGCATAAAGCATTTTTGTAGGTGTTACTATGCGACATCATTTTAAAACTAATGAAACTAGTAGAAAACAAGAATTTTCAGCTCTTAATGTGAATCAAAGAGCTTACACTTTCCAAAAACTGTGTATTCAAGCAGTGGAATATTATTCAGCCATGAAAAGGGATGAAGGACTTACAGCTGGACATGGAGGACACTGAGAACATTGTGCTGAGTGAAAGAAGCCAGTCACCACAGACCACATGGCACATGATTCCATTCACTCAAAATGTCCAGAACCCAGAAATCCAGACTGACAGCATGTTAGTGGCTGCTCAGATAGGAAAGCGAGGGCTGTGGCGGTGGGGGCAAGGAGTGACAGCTGAAGGGTACAGTGGTCCTTTCTGAAGTGATGAAAACGTCCTACAATTGTGATGTACTAAAATCCACTTTAAATGAGCGAATTATATGGTATATAAATTATCCCATGTAATAAAAGGCTAATACAGTGGGGCCTTGACTTAGGAGTTTAATTTGTTCCGAGACCGAGCTCGTTAAGGAGCTCCTTAACTCAAATTACTCTGTCAACTCAATGCAAAAAATCGGCCAAGAGACAGCTAGTATCTCAAAAAACTCGTTAGTCAGGACACTCGTAAGTCAAGGCCCCACTGTATGCAAATCAACTGAACACGGACTGACCGGTCACTATGATGCACACTGACCACCAGGGGGAGTGCCGCTCAGCCAGAAGCTGGGCTCACGGCTGGTAAGCGCAGTGGTGGTGGCGGGAGCCTCTTCCGCCTCCCAGGCAGCGCTAAGGATCAGCGAGCCCTGCTTCTGGCTGAGCGGGAGCGGGCCTAACATGGCAGTCAGACATCCCCTGAGGAGTCCTGGACTGTAAGAGGGCACAGGCTGGGCTGAGGGACCCCCCACCCACCAGGGGACGAATGTCGTGCACCGGGACTCTAGTATTTCAAAAAAAAGCCACTTTTTACAGAAAGAAAAGACCACACAGCAGGCTAGCGTGCGCTCTCCTTGGAAAAGCCTGCTTTCGAGGGTTTGGCTCTGGGAGCTTAGGATTCGATTCGGGAGGATTCCCAGCCCGGTGGCTGCTAAGGTGGTCTCTGCACCTGAACTAGCAGCAGCGTGGCTTCTCCAGACCCCTGCTTCCTCCCGCAAGCCTGGCACTCGGCTCTGTCCTAGGCGGAGGTGCCTGTGTGCCACCACGGAACGCTCCCGCCTCTGTTGAGGACATTTTCTGTGTCATCGCAATGCCTCGCTGGAGGAGTGAGTGTGTCCCGAGTGACTCCACTGGGAGAAAACTACTGGGCGCTGGTGCCTGGTTCCCACCAGACCTCCGCCCATGACCCTTCTCCATCTGCAGACTCTGCTTTAGGTCCCTTCTCGGGAACACAGCGTGGCAATGAGTCAACAATACGCTGAGTGCTCCGACTCCCACACAGGCACTGAAAGGAGGGCCAGGGGTCTAGGGACCCCGATGCAGAGGGCTACACAGTCAGTAAGAGCTACCTTGTTCCCGTCAGGCTGGCAAAACTTAAAGCAACACTGCAAGAGGGGATACACGGACATATATTGTTGACTAATTAAAAAAATGTGACTATACTATATACCCTGTGGCTATAGTGTACTATCTGCCTGGCAACAACTAATAAAATATAAAACAAGGCCCGGATGGTTTGGCTCAGTGGTGGAGCATCAACCTATAAACCAGGAGGTCACGGTTCAATTCCTGATCAGGGCACATCCCCGGGTTGTGGGCTCGATCCCCAATGTGAGGCATGCAGGACGCAGCTGATCAGTGATTCTCTCGCATCACTGATGTTTCTATCTCTCTCCCCCTTCCTCTCTGAAATCAATATATATATATATACACACACATATGTATATAAAACAAGCACACTTCAATATGTAATAATAAACAATATTGACAATATATGCTCCAAACATAAAAGTACTTCGTTGAGCTATATTAGGTAGGTGTAGTGAATAAGGAAAGAAACAAAATCAACATCCACAAATAGGGACTTAATATAACTGTTTTTAGTGACAAGGGCAAAATGCAGAAATGTCACATGACCCCACTTTGATAATATGTGGGGAAGTACATATGCTTTCTATGAGCCTTTGAGCAGGGAGCAGTGTGTGTGCATCTGAGATGGGGGTGGACAGCCGAGCCAGAGGATAAACATGGAAAACACCTGCACAAAGAAAAACTATAGCATGTATATTCATCATATGTATGTATGCATCACATGAGTTAGGAGTGTATGCATACGCAAATATACAATTAAAACAAAAACAATACACGTGGAAAGATTATAGTAAGAAAGATATTAATTGAAGAATAGATGCCCTTTGATATACAAAACTGTTGTCACTATATATGGAGGAACTGGAGAAGACTGTGTTAGAAAATTCCTAAAACAAAAATAAAAAATAAGAGTACGTATGAATAAGGAAATACTCTACCACCACCAACAAAAACAGGGAACTTTAAGTAACTTTCAATGTCCTGCACTTTTTGCTCTGTCTTTGTGATAACAGGACTGTGCTGTGACCTCCCCCACATGCTCGTTTCCACAAGTGACTTGAGACGAGCCTGCATGTGCACCCTGAATATGGGACACGAGCACTAAGGACAACCTCTGAGACACGGCTCTGAAGAGAGGGGGCCGCGCGGGCACCCCGCGCATGGCTCTGCAGGCGCAGCCCCAGCCTGGGCCCCAGCCTGGCCTCCCCTCTTCCCCTTCTCAGCTCTGACTTCACCCTCAATTGCTCAGAACCAACATCTTGGCATCGCCTCTTACTCCTCTTTCTTACTGAGTGAAAACGGGAAATCAAGTGACACCTCCATCACCACGCCCTCTGCAATCAGTGTTCCCACCTAAGACCGAGGCACGAAGGGTCCAGGACAAGTCCCCATGCGGCAGCGGAGTCGAGGCCAGGACTAGCCTGAGGAGGTGGTGCTCTCAGGCTGCAGACAGGACCCAGTAGGAGGGCACCCCTCAAGGATCACATGGCCTGCTCACCTGGAAACGGGCGGGGCCCGCGGAAAGGGCAAGAGTGGGTCATGCAGGCTGAGCAGCTGAGAAGCCAGAGTGTAAAGTGTCTGGCGGGTCCCTGATGGGCCCTGACAAGCAGGGGATCCACGCTCTGACTCAGGATCCCCAGCTGTTTACTCCACCCGAGAGGCTCCAGCAACACAGCACAGCTCTCAACCACGGAATCATTAAAGGCACCGCAGCTGCTGCCCTCACAATCTCTATGAAAGGCTCACAGAGGTCTTGTAAGACTCATAAACCATGGGTAAGAGACCTAATGAATACCCAAAACATAGCAGGCATTCAGCAAATGCAAGCATTATAATGACAGCAGCAACACGGTCTTTGATGTGATTTTTAACAACATAAACAAACATCTGAATAAAGGAAACGCTGTACTACAAGGTATTTTATATCCCACATTGCCATCTTTCTCCATTTCCTGAAGCTGCTGTAACCACTCTTGACCATGGCCTTTATCCAGATTTAGGGGGGTCAGATGAACTGTATAATAAAGTATCAATTTCTAAATTTTAAAATTTGTTGATAAGTCATTCTTAGTAGAAAATAAGCAATTTCATTTATAGAGCTGTATATTACTCTATGAAAACTTAACATGCGAAAAATTCTAATTTACAAAAAAACCGGGAATGTTTCATTTCAAGTGGAATCACCACCACATTGTTTCAAACTTTCATTTGCAAACTGGACTGGAGAAGGAGAACTGAATTGCAACAGAAGGCAACGAATCAGAAATACCCGGGCAGCTACTCAAATCATCATGTAAGCAACGGGGAAGATTTAATTTAGAAAAATTCAACCTATGTGGTCCTCTCATCTGCAGCAGTGGATGCCTGAAACCATGGATGGTACCAAACCCTATACACACACACACACATACACACACACATATATATATACACATACATGTACATATATATATATACATATATACACATATACTGTGTTTTTTCCTATACACACATACCTAGGATAAAATTTCATTTATAAATTGGGCACAGGAGACAACTAATAAAACAGAAAAACTATATGCTCAGCTGGTGTTGCTCAGTGGTTGAGCATCGACCC